GGCTGCCCCTGGATCCCTGGCAGTGCCCAAGGCCAGGCTGGACATTCCTGGCACACTGGGGGGTGTCCCTGCCATTTTTGAAGGCTCTCTGACCCCAAACCCTTCCAGAACTCTCTGGAGTTTTTGGAGGGGCCAGAGCAGAGGTGGGAGAGCAGCTCCGGGCTGGGAGCAGTTCCAGCCTCACTGTCATTGGTGAATTGAGTGTAATTCTCATTTCCCTTGCCCAGCTCCTTGTTGCAGCTGCTGCCCTTCATTCCTGGCTGGCCTTTAATGAGCTCTGTTAATGAGCTGGGCTGGGGGGCTCTGCCAATCGAACTCCTCGGGTGCAGCTTTCAGCATTTCAGCATTTCAGCATTTCAGCATTTCAGTGGCTGCCCCAGCACCCCTCGCTGTTCATTCTCCCACCACAAACCCCTCGTTCCACAGGCTGCTCCTTGCCTGGGGGCTCCACCTGGATAATTCCTTTTTTTTACCTTTTTTTTTACAAGCTCTGGCTCTGCCCCCGACGTGTCCCTGCACATCACCGAGGAGGAAAAAAAAAAATTATTTTGTGTGTCTGAAAAGGGGGATTGTGTTTGCCTCAGTGTGGGGAGAGCCAGAAATTCCCAGTTTGGAAAAGCTCCTGAAGGAAAAATTTGCTGGGGGCGTGTGAGGGAGGAATCGACTGCAGGAGATGGAGGGAGGGAGGGAGGGAGGGCTGGAATTGCCAGGAATGGCACCTGGGACTGTGACAGTGACACTGCCAGGGCATGGACATCCCCCTCTGCCCCTGGCCCTGCGTGTGCAGGCCCTGGGCTAAAAAAAAAAGAACATTTTGCTGCGTTTTCCTGGGGTTTTGCTCCATTCCCTGAGATCTGCAGGAAGCTGCCATCAGGATAAGTTATTTATTCCTTCTGTAGCTGTGGTTCTGAGTTAGTTCTCACAAACATTTCTTGCAGTCGGTCTCTGCTCACAGGAACACCCCAAGCTTTGCTTTTACGAGTCCTCAAAGCAAACAAAGCAAACAAAAGCATCCATCAAATGCTGGGTGCTGGCAGGGGCAGCTCTGGAGACTGAGCCCTCACCTGGCACATGTCACACAGTCACAGAGTGACAGAATGACACAATCACAGAGTCACACAGTCACAGAGTGACACAGTCAGATAATTACAGAATCAGAGTCACAGAATGACAGAATTATAGAATCAAACAATCACAGAATGACAGAATTATAGAATTAATCACAGAATTGCAGAATTACAGAATTAAACAATCACACAATCACAGAATTATAGAATTAATCACAGAATGACAGAATTACAGAATCAAACAATCACAGAATGATAGAATTACAGAATGACACAGTCACAGAATGATAGAATTATAGAATCAAACAATCACAGAATTACAGAATTATAGAATTAATCATAGAGTTACAGAATTACTGAATCAAACAATCACAGAATGACAGAATCACACAATCACAGAATGATAGAATTATAGAATGACACAATCACGGAATGAGATAATTACAGAATCACAGTCACACAATCACAGAATCAAACAATCACAGAATGACAGAATTATAGAATTAATCACAGAATCACAGAATTACAGAATCAAACAATCACAGAATGACAGAATTATAGAATGACACAGTCACAGAATGACAGAATTATAGAATCAAACAATCACAGAATCACACAATTACAGAATCACAGAATCAGGTAATTACAGAATCACAAAATCACAGAATCAAACAATCAGAGAATGACAGAATCAGAGAATCACACAATCACAGAATTACACAATCAGGGAATCACAGAATCACAGAATTTTGGGTTGGAAGAAGCTCCACGATCATCAATTCCAACCCAGCCCCAACAGCTCAACTCGACCGTGGCTCTGAGTGCCCCATCCAGGTGACACCTCCAGGGATGGGCACTGCAAAGCTCCCTGGGCAGCCCCTGCCAAGGCCTGAGCACCCTTTCCATGGAGAAATTGCTGCTGCTGTCCAAGCTGAGCCTGCCCTGGCCCAGCCTGAGCCCATTTGCCCTTGTCCTGTCCCTGTCCCCTGGCAGCACAGCCCGGGGGTCCCCAGTGTCCCCTCCCGTGTCTGTCCCCCCCCCGTGGCTCATGGGAACACATTTGCATCTTGCATGGTGTTGGTTTGGTGTCCGTGGCTCAGCCCTGCCCTCTTTATGTTGGTTTGGTTTTGTTTTGCTTTTATTGGTTTTGTTGTTTTTTATTGGTTTTATTGATTTTATAGTTTTTTAATTGTTTTTTTTTGTTTTGTTGGGTTTTGGTGGTTTTATTGTTTTTATTATTTTTGGTTTTGTTGTTTTTATTGATTTTATTTTTTATTGCTTTTGGTTTTGTAGTTTTGTTGGGTTTTGCTATTTTTCTTGTTTTTCTTGATTTTGTTGTTTTTATTTGGTTTGCTTCTGTTGGTTTTATTGGGTTTTGTTGTTCTTATTTTTACTGTTTTTATTGGTTTTGGTGTTTTTATTGTTTTTATTGTTTTTATTGTTTTTATTGTTTTTACTGGTTTTGCTGATTTTGTTGTTTTTGCTGTTGTTATTACCTTTATTGTTTTTGCAGTAGTTATTATTTTAATGTTTCTGTTGCTTTTGCTGTTATTATTTTTATCGTCCTTGCCGTTATTATTTTTGCTGTTTTTGCTGTTTTTGCCGTTGTTATATTTTTATTATTTCTATGTTTTTATCGTTTCCGTTGCCGTTGTTATTATTTACTTTATTATTTTTATCGTTTCGTTGGTGTTGTTATTATTTTTATTTTTACCGTTTTTGCTGTTTTTGCCGTTGTTATTATTTATTTTATCATTTTTATTGTCATTATGTATTTTATATTTTCATCGTTCCCTTGCTGTCATTATTTATGGGATGTTTTTGTCGTTCCTGGCTGTCGGTTGCCGTCCCCCCTGCCCAGGTGCGAGCGCAGCAGCCCCGGCCCCTCCCGGCAGGAGGAGCACGCGCTGATCGGAGCCTTGGTGCGGAGCCTGCGCCGCGGGGCACGGTCAGTGCCCCCGGACACGGGGGACAGGGGGGACAGGGGGACATGGGGACATGGGGACACGGGGACACACAGGGGATAATGGGGACATGGGGACAAATGGGGACACTGGGGACAGGGGGACAATGGGGACACACAGGGGACACGGGGACACTGGGGACAGGGGGACAAATGGGGACAAATGGGGACAGGGGGACAATGGGGACAATGGGGACACACAGGGGACACGGGGACACTGGGGACAGGGGGACAAATGGGGACGGGGGACAATGGGGACAGTGGGGACAATGGGGACAATGGGGACAGGGGGACAATGGGGACACACAGGGGATAATGGGGATAATGGGGACAGTGGGGACAATGGGGACAGTGGGGACACACAGGGGATAATGGGGACAATGGGGATAATGGGGACAGTGGGGACAATGGGGACAGTGGGGACACACAGGGGATAATGGGGACACGGGACAGTGGGACAATGGGGGACAAGGGGGATAATAGGGACACTGAAGGACAGGGGGACACTGGGGACAGTGGGGGTGTAAGGGTCGGTCCGAAGTTCCCCTCGACAGGGGACAGGGGGCACCCGGGATACTGGGGACACACAGGAGACAATGGGGACAAGGGGGACACTGAGGATAACTGGGGACACTGAGGGACAGGGGGACAATGGGGACCTGGGGATAATGGGGACAGTGAGGGACAGGGGGAAACAGGGGACACTGAGGGACAGGGGGACACTGGAGGTGGCTCCAGGTCCATCCCAGCCCAGTCCAGGAATGTCCGTGTGTCCATCCCATCCCATTATCCCATCCCATTATCCCATTATCCCATCCCATTATCCCATTATCCCATCCCATTATCCCATCCCATCCTCTTAGAGGATCCCAGACTTGTTTGGGTGGGAAGGGACCCAAATCCCCCCCAGTGCCACCCCTGCCATGGCAGGGACACCTCCCAGTGTGCCAGGAATGTCCAGCCTGGCCTTGGGCACTGCCAGGGATCCAGGGGCAGCCACAGCTGCTCTGGGCACCCTGTGCCAGCCCTGCCCACCCCCAGGGCAGGATTTTCCTCCGTGTCCCGTCTGTCCCTGCCTCGGGGAAGCCACCCCAGGCTCTGCCTTGCTCGCCCTGCTGCCCCAGCCGGGCTTTGTGCCAGCAGGGCAGGGCAGGGCAGTCCCAGCTGCCTCCCCACCCTGTCCCCATCTGCAGCACGGGGTTCCCTGAGTGTCCCCTGTCCCTGAGTGTCCCCTTCCCTGAGTGTCCCCTTCCCTGAGTGTCCCCTTCCCTGAGTGTCCCTTTCCATCAGGGCTGACCTGGAGCCCCCTGGCACACTGGGACGTGTCCCTGCCATGGCAGGGGTGGCACTGGGGGGGATTTGGGGATTTAGGGACCCTTCCCACCCACGCCATTCCCTGATCCCATTCTCTGTGCCAGCCATGAGCTGCCAGGGGTGGGTGGCAGAGCTCAGGGACTCTCTGTGACAGGGGCACAACATTGTCACAGGGGGCCACATCCCCTGCACTGCTGTGTTTAACGCAGGAATTCTGTGGGATTCTGGGGAATTCTTTGGAATTCTGGGGAATTCTGTTTGCCCTTTCCAAACCTCTGCTGCTCTGGAGCCCTCTGGGTTCTGTCCCTGTGTCCTCCCCCCATCCCAGCCCTGGCTTTGTTCTTCCCCTTCGCTCCCTTCCCTGTTCTTGGCAGAGCTGGGGGTGCTCACCTGGAGAGGAGAAGGATCCAGGGAGAGCTCAGAGCCCCTGGCAGGGCCTGGAGAGGGACTGGGGACAAGGCCTGGAGGGACAGGACACAGGGAATGGCTGCCAGTGCCCCAGGGCAGGGCTGGATGGGATCTTGGGCAGGAATTGTTCCCTGGCAGGGTGGGCAGGGCTGGCACAGGGTGCCCAGAGCAGCTGTGGCTGCCCCTGGATCCCGGGGACAGATGAATTTGAGCTCCTGTTCCTTGTCCCCTGTCAAATATCCCTAAAAGCAAACACAAAAAGATTCTGTTTTCTGTTGTAAGTTCCAGGGTGTTTTCAAGAAAGCCAGAAGTGATCAATAACTATTTTATAACTGGCTGTGATAGGAGATGGCAGCTCCAGGAGCTGGGAGATGAATTTGCAGATAATGGGAAGGGGGGAAGGGATGCAGAGATGTCTGAGATGTCTCAGGAGAGCAGAGCAGAGCTGCAGGACAGCAGCACGGGGCTCAGGGTGTGGGGTTTGTCCTTTACCCACACACCTGAGTGGGTGTGGAGGTGTCTGTGCAGCCCCGAGCCTGGTTCGAGCCCCTCTGTGCTGCCCCTGCTTTCAGTCCCCTTCCTGCAGCTCCTCCTGTGCTCTGGGATGTCTCCAGGACTAAGCAGGGGCCCACGGGGTCCCTTGTGGCCATCCCAGCCCCCTCTGTGCCAGCCCACACATCCCTGGCCAGCTCCCGGGGCTGCAAGAGCTCGAGGTGTTAAATCTGAAAATGAAATCTGCATTTTTAAATACCCACCACATTCACGGCTTAGACTGCTTGAGTGGACAAGGGAAGCACAAATCCCTGAAATGGAGCTTGCAGAAATGCAGATTGTCTCCTGGGGTGGGAATGTGGGCTGGGAAAGGATTGTGGTGCACCAGGAACGTGGCAGGTTGGGTTTGGTCCTGTGTGGTGATGCTGAATTTCCCTGGGGTGCCCTGGGGTGCCCTGGGGTGCCCTGGGGTGCCCATGGATGCCCTGGGGTGCCCATGGATGCCCTGGGCAGGCTCCTGGCAGTGGGAAGCACATTCCTCATTCCCACACTGCTCTGTTCATTAAACACCACCTTGGTTTCTGTCCCTGACCCAGCAGGTCCCAGCACAGGGGAGATGGGATGAGGGATCCCTGCTCAGCAGGGGACAACCTGCAGCTCCCAAATCCTGCAGATCTAAACCCTGCAGCTCCCAAACCCTGCAGATCCCAAACCCTGCAGATCCCAAACCCTGCAGATCCCAAATCCTGCAGCTCCCAAACCCTGCAGCTCCCAAACCCTGCAGCTCCCAAATCCTGCAGCTCCCAAATCCAGGAGCTCCCAAATCCAGCAGATCCCAAATCCAGCAGATCCTAAACCCTGCAACTCCCAAACTCTGTTTTTACAGAGCCCAGCTCTAACTCTGGTTTATTTTTTTTGCAGTGCCCAGCTCTAACTCTGGTTTATTTTTCTGCAGTGTCCTCGCTATCCCAGCCCTGACTCTGGTTTATTTTTGCAGTGTCCAGCCCTGACTCTGGTTTCTGGTTTATTTTTTTGCAGTGCCCTGGCCAGCCCGGGCAGGCTGGATGAGGAGTTTCTGGGCTCTAACTCGGGTTTATTT